AAGCGTGCTTGTCTTTTAGTAACGCAGTTCTCAGAGAGTGAAGATTGTAAGGTACGACAAGCAAAGTCGTTGGCGGCGGTCATGCATTTCAACATTTTTCATTGACAAACGGAGCCGGAGGCTTGCAGCCACCATCTAGTGACCTCCAAAATATGTCACCAGGTTCACGCTTGTCGAGACATTCACATGCACGAGTTTCTACTTGTATTTACTTCAGTATATAATTTTGTATTTATGGATTCTCCACAGGCCTTGGCTTAAATCGAGGGAGTCTCCGTCAACAGCTTATGAAGAAGAAAAAGCTGAGGACAAAAAATGAGAAGATAGAAAGACGTGGGGTGGTAGTAATTTCACACCGTGCTCTTTGAAATCGCTGGTCTACGTGGAATGAAACCAGAGGACTCATAACGGGTGATAGCAAAGTGGGTGCGGACAAGAGCAATAAAACATTTTGGGCTGGATGCAGTACGAATGTCAGCCGGGAGGGAGTTCCATGTGACAGGGGTGACAAAGAGAAAGGTGGTACGCACGTATGTGCTGGCTCTAGCAGGCGGAAGCAGATGTTGGGGGCGCCTGGCTCTGTGTGGCCTAGGTCCTTGAGGGTCGTCATCTGGCTATGGACAAGGTGGCGGAGCTCAAGAAGGCACTGAATGTGTTTTGACATGCGAGGCTGGTCTACTAGACGTGCACGAAAAGCGAGGCTTTCGGCTCCGTTTGTCTAGTGTGTGTTTACTTGGTTAGTTCTCAGCTCTGTGATTTTCTCTTTTGTCCTTATTATACTGCATGCTACCAATCCCCCCCCCCCCCCCCCCAACACCCTGGAGTGTAGTAGAAATTATTCCCGTAGCTATGCAAAAGACGTTACTTCAGAATCGCCTGGCGCTAGCCAGGGTCCACACAGCTTTAATTCAGTGTTTGTTTGTGCCATCGGTATGCCTGGCGCTATCCCGTACCCGTACCGTACCGTACCATGAAAGACGGCTGGGCACAATATTCAATAGGGCTTTCAAATGCAAGAACATAACGTGAAGCAACTTGGAGGAATGATTATGTATGCAAGTGTATCGGGGGGAATGCATGCAGGGCGATAGTGCGGGTTCGAATCCCAGGTTATGTCTTTAAAAAAGATTGGAGAAATGACAAATGTATAACATCCCTATGCTTTTTGCCTAGGCAGTAGGCATCAAGGTGGTAGACGGTGTCGTATCACCCTCAAATGCAAAGAGAAAAAAACATTTCCATCAGGTCTAATAACATCCATGATGAGATAGGCAAAATAGAATAGCGTAGGGCCCTGAGCTTCCAAGCTCCCTCGTTTTTAGCTTCGGTTTCCGATGGTGTATATTTTGGTAACGTGAGCCCATTGTGGCTACTATAGGGTATGCAGTAATTATCCGAGGGGGGATCAATGTAGGTGTCCAAGACCAATTTGGGGATCCTGATCCATCTGTTGACTCGATACTGAAGACTTCCTTTCAAACTGCTATTGCTCAGCTCGAAAGAATTGTTTCAAGCCAAACGAAACGCACTGGAAGAAAGGGAGCATATTTTCCATAAACATGGTGAGTCAACGGTTGCAATCTCTGGCGCAGATGGTCACCAAAGCTACTTCGCATTCGGTTGAGTCAACATCAACCAGCTCGGCCGCCATTGCCAGTGCAAGCGAGAAGAAACGCACAGCAGCTCAGCAGCTCAGCAGAGTTGTGGCAACAACAACAACAATGGCCAACATTATTTTCACGCTTTAAAGTTAAAACATATACTCTTCTCGCATTCTCTGCGCCATAATTATGCCCCACCACATATACTCTCGCTGCATACTGCTAGCAACGTGCAACCTTCGTATAATTTACGTCGCTCTCGTACTTGGCACTTGCCAACTCCGCGGACTGACCGCTGTCTCCATTCTCCCCTGTACAAGGCCCTTCATTACTTTAATTGCTTGCCCGCCCAGCTTCGCGAAATCCCTTCTCGTACTCCCTTCAAATCCGAGATATCCCTGCTGTTGCACAACTCTGTATGCTCGTGTAGCGACCACCCCTGCCCGTACACTTAAGTACACAACTCTGTATGCTCGTGTGGCGACCACCCCTGCCCGTACACTTAAGTAGTCATTAACCCCTAGGCCCTGCCCACCCAATTCTTCCTCACTCTTTCTCCTTTCTTACACTATTATCTCTTATTGGCCACTGGCTGTCGTGAGAATAAAGATTTGAAACAACAACAACAGAAAAGACAGTACGACCTCTAGTACCCTAGAGTTGGTTGAGGCCCCGCTTGGTTCACTCCGCGACTTTCTAACGGATTCAAATAGTGACTCCCACGGCACTCGGCATGGTCAGGTCACGGCTGGCGATGCAAGTGATGCGCTTTCCCGTGTTCAGAAGTTTGAGGAAGTGTCCGAGGATAGTGATTGCAATGGTGTACAGTGGAAGGTCGTCACATCGAAAAAACCAACAACGAAAAAGAGTGTCGTGTTCATAGGAGATTTAAAGAAGGATGCCTGCATGTCAGTGGAGCAGCTTGAAAATTCCGTTGTGAGCAGAGCGGATAGTGTTGGTGTATCAGTCCGTGTCTACAGTTGCAAAGTGTTTTCGTCATCTTGTGAAATTGTGTACCTGGATATCAGCGACCGTGATGCTGTCCTAGCTCGTCTTCCTCGCAAAGCGAGCTCAAGACGTCGAGGTGAAACACTGACAAAGAGTCGTCGTCTTCATCGTGTTGATTGGAATACTTTTCAAGTTGACCTGGCCTCTACACTGGATTCAACATTTAGCGAGGGTATAATCAATAGTACCCACCGCCTTAGGAGCTGCATCTGCGCCTTGATCCTTGAAGGGTGGTGGCGTTCCTACGGATACGGAAAACTCAGCCTCTAGCCGAGTCTGACGCGAACCGTGAATTTTTTTTATTCGATAGTATGGCAAGCTCTTTTCAAGTTGATCTAGCCTCTAAACTGAATTCATCATTTAACGAGGATACCATTGATGGTATGGCATGCTCTGTCACAGATGCCATTGTTACTACTCTAAATAAGCATGCTCCGATCACTTTGCGCCCGTGTAATGAACGTCTCCCTCGGCATTGGCTCTCAGATGAACTTGTTGCATGCGTTCGAGAGCGAAACTGGCTTCACCGTCACCTTAGAAGGATTACCGGTGTACCGGCACATGTGGAACATGTATAGTAATACACCAGTTGATAAGCAGGTCAGTGCCTGCAAGTCAGCCCCCCCCCCCCCCCCCCAAAACCAAAACATCTTCCCACGCCACTGAAAAACGCATGAAAATACATGGCAACAAATAAACACATACGCCAATTTGGATGAAGACACTTAGCAGGCTTCAGCTGAGGCCTCTTTCCAGACTTGAGCAGCTAAACGCCGTGTGGTCACAGAGTGCGTTCGATTACGCCTATGAATCAATTCATGAGAGGAATCTGATGCATTCAAATCATTTGATTTTCATGTCATGCGTCTGGAATCAGTTTGGAATCCAGTCATCCTATTCACATGGGGGATATGAGTAACCAAGGGTAATTCATGTTTGCACTCAACATCGATTCTTGGGCAAATCAAACGCACTCGATGTTCACAGCAGTCAGGATAGTGGCTGACAACTCTGGCTTTTCTAGCTAAACAGTGTGCCACTGATACGTGTTCTTGCCACTCAAGTTTCTTGAACACAAACCTTTCTTGGTCACATGATTGCAGGCAGGGAACTTGGGAAGCAGACTCTAAAACAAACCAGTACTCGTACTAGAGGGTGTAAACTACTTACTGGCTAAGCAGGCAAATGGAAGCTCCTCCAAACTGCTCCTGGCCTGACTGCGTCCCAGCTGGCTGCCCTTCACCTCAAAGGCGTAATGAGTCCCAAAAGCATGTCCATCTAAAGACAATACATCGGATTGTCGAGACCAGATGAATAGGTCGTTGGTGGCTGCAGCTCCAAGTCCAAGTTTCCCGAGCACAACGGAGAGAGTCTCCACTTCAAAAGCATTTTGAAAGTCCAATAGCCTTGCCTCATACCCGTAGGTATCTATGCAGTGTTTGGTGGAATTGTAGTGACTCATCCTCAGCAGGTCGCGGGAAAACGGGATTGTTGGTATAACAACATAGCCATTATTCCTGTGGTACTGGGATGCAGCTGAATAATTGAAATACAAACAGAGAAAGAAATGGCATCAGCCACAGCAGCCAATGCCACATAAGTGTATCTGAATGGAACACCCGCTGGCAACTTGAACTTAAGCCATCAAAAAAATTATGTTCAGTCAGTATCATTTGCTTGGATGACAATTACAAGCTTAGTGATTGGAGAATTCCTGCTGATAAACCAGAGTCCCGGGTCTAGTCATGGTGGTGACAGTCATCTTTTTCTCTCTAGACTCCATACATAGAAGTAGGACACACTTCAGGTTCTCGAACATTTTGAAGGTTTCAGCAGTATACGTCCATGCCTTATCATCAGGTGAAAAACATTGAAACGCAGGTGAAGTACATAGATTCACGCTTTCGCTGTTAGGCAGGTCGTCAATAACTCGTTAGTTGTTGCCTATTTGTTGTCGGTTTTTGTTGCACCGCACTTCACGCTTTTCGGGTTTCCTCACACTTGCTCCTTCTCAACATTACTTCACATGTGTATGGGTCATGCATTTGACGCTGTTGTTTTAGCTGTTCTTCCTTGCACTGTTTCTATCACCTCTCTGCTGTATTTAATGCATTGCCCATGTTCATTTGATTTTGCCTGTATTTCACCAGATGATCAGGCAGGAAAGTATACTTGTGAAAACTTTCAAAATGTTCAAGAGACTAAGTGTGTCCTACTTCTCAGTATAATTGCATTCTTGTCTCCAAGGAAATTGTTCGCCTATAACATACATATGCATTTAGTCGGTTGCAAGATACCACTCTCTGAGCATGTTGCTGGCTTTGAGGTTTCTGGAAGCCATCCTTTCTGGCAGATTGTTGTTCCGTTCTTAGCAATTCCTGCATATCCTGCTGGTCTAGTCTCCAGGAGTGGAGGTGTGCAAGCTGCAAAGAAGAATAGGAATATTTCAGGTACACACATGCATTCATACACGCGCACACACACACGTACGCACGCAACCACGCACACACTGGCATACACACATACAATAATGTTGACCATGCTGAAGCAATGTTTGGCACATTGGTGCCTGAAGCGATTCCGGGTGTTGGAGCTTTGTGAGGCACCCTCCATTGTTGGGAAGGAAATCAGCGTACGGGTTTATGCAATGTGGTGAAGTGAAAGTATTCAAATTTGTTTAATCAAGAAACCGTGGGAAACACTTTACAAAAAATGTCCTGAGTAGCAGTGGAGATAGCCCGCTGCCTTTCAGTGCATGAATAAAGTATTCCAGTTGACTAAAAGAAGAGACACCATAATCCATTTCCTTCATTGCTGTAGGGGTTTGGCTACCGTCAGCATCACTGTTGGCAGCCGTCATGAGTTCACACGCTAACGACCACGATAGTTCACTTCTTCTACTTGGCTTGGCCATCTTCATGATCAAATAACTATGGTGGCATCTGGGGATGATGGCCGTAATCTTCCAGAATGTCGACATTAATTCTGTCTAGTTGTGACACGAACACTACTCAGGGGAGGGAAAGTTGACAAGGTGGGGTTTTTTGGGCATGCCTTGTGCAGAATGCAAGCAGAACGGACAAACATCCTCCGCGCTCTTATTGGTGGACACATATTATAATATATGGACATATACGTACACACACACACACACACACACATACAGACAGACAAAACTACTACTACTACTACTAGCAGCATGACTGCCCAGATGGGCAAGTGTCACCCCTATGAAAAGGGGACCAGAAAACGGGAGTCGGATCACAAGCAGGACCGCGAATGTCTGGCTAGGTCCTGCTGCCGGCAGAAATTGCGTTTACAATGTGGGCAGCTGAGGGGCAGAGCTGCTCTCCCAGCAGCAGATGGTCTCGCACCACGATTGCAGTTGTGACGCTTGAACCCGGCCGCAGAACGGATGCATCGCTGACATGTTGGGCAGTGCTGCTGGCAACAAGCTGAAAGTGGCACAGATAGACTGATTGTTGGTGTAGGAGAACTCGTGACAGGCTGGCATCGATGAACAGAGTAGCCACCTTTGCTGCGGAACCACCTCTGGCAGTTCTGGCACTGCACTGATCCATGCTGGAGCTGGATGGGAAGCCGTCTCTGAGTGGTGCACTTGTGCCGTGTTCTATCGGAGACCCGTGAGAAGTTTCGGTCACACACTGCGCAATGCACAGACTTGGGCATGGTGGAGCTCGACTGAGGGGCAACCCGTACTTCCCTCCACTGTTGGCGGTCCTGAGCAAGGATGAACCACTGAGATGGATGCTGCAGTGCAAACTTGAGGTCGGTCATCACCGTGTCCTTCCACCGTCGATGGGGACCACAAAGAGGCCGAGGCACAGGTAGCCACCCAAAGAGGAGTTGGAAGGGGTGCGATCCTCATCCATACGCGCAACGTGCCCAGTCCATTCCAGACGCCGATTGCGGAGGCGTGTAGACATCAGTACTGGGTCTCCCCAACGGTTCCCCAGGTCTGTGGATGACAGCCGCTCGGACCACTGACGAGGCTTGGTGATGCTGAGGACAGTCCGGATGCATTGATGGTGGAATTTATCCAAACTTCTAATATCCCGTTGGAGTGGGGTCCAACACTCTCCGCCATACAGTAATATTGAGGAAACGCAGGCCATGTACAGGTGTCGTTTACTAGAGAGGGACAGAGACATGTCAGTGAAAACCTTCTGGAGGGCTCCGAAGGCCTTTGAGGCTTCGGCAATGCGGCGCTTGATGTCGGATGAAGAACGACTGTCAGGGGTCACTATGGATCCTAGGTAAGTGAACTTTGGCACGGCTTCGATAGTGCCAAGGGGGAGAACGATGTCAGCCGAGTCTTCAGCAGAGACCCCATGGCCCGCCATCATGATCTGAGTGTTGGCGATGCTCACAGTTAGTCCAAATTCTCGGGCAACACTACAGAAGAGCTCCACACCAAACTCAGCATCACTACGGCATTCAGACACGAGAACGGCATCATCAGCATACTCCAGGTCACTAACAGACAGTGACTCGCCAGCCCTGCGCGATGATGAGCGGGGGTAGAGTTGGCCATTGATGGTAAACTGGATGCTGGCAGAGTGACTACGACCTGCATCCTTAAGCCGGGCACGCCATGTCTCAACAACCGCCCCGAAGTACAGGCTAAAGAGAACTGGTGCCATGACACATCCTTGTCGGAGACCGTTAACCACAGGGAACTCATCAGAGGTGGAGTTGCCAACTCGGACCGAGGCAGAGGTAGATGTGTGGAAAGCCTTAATCAGGGCCACTAGCTGTTGCGGAACCCCAAGTCGGCCCAAGGCCACCCAGAGAGCAGCGCGTGGTACAGAATCGTACGCCTTTATCAGGACCACAAACACACAGAAGAGCTGTTAACGATATTCGTATGCTTTCTCGATTAGCTGGTGGAGTGAGAAGATGGCATCAACACAGCCCCTGCCTGGCCGAAAGCCGCACTGGGACTCTGGGAGTTCCGGCTCAGCCAACAACTGCAGGCGATCTTGGATCATGCGGCCACACACCTTGCTAACAACATCAAGAAGGGCAATACCCCACCAATTATCACATTTGGACAGGTCGCCCTTCTTGGGAACAGGAACCAACTCGGCATCGCGCCATTCCTGCGGAACAGTGGCCGTCGTCCAAGCAAGTTGGATGAGATCCAGCAATGCGTCCAGGGAATCATGGCCACCTGCTTTCACAAGCTCGGGGACCATATGCGAGGAACCTCCAGCTTTGCCATTTGCAAGGTGTATGGCGACGACAAGGTCTTCCATTGTTGGTGTGACTGCCAGAGACTCGTCAGGCTCACGTTGGGGGATGTTAGCAACGGTGGAGGCACTGAAGGTACTGGGGACATTGCGCAAGTTCGAGAAGTGAGTGGACCAGCAGTCTTCCTGCTCCTCCAAGGACGTGCAAACTATGCCCTCAGCATTACGGACCGGATGGATGGTGACAGATCGGAGTCCTGAGTAGCACCGTTGAATGTCTCGGATGGCGGACCAAACGTGCTTACCGCTAAATTTGCCACGCTCCACAGTGCTAGCTCTCTGCTCCAACCATGCACTCTTCGCTGCACCAACTGCGGTACGACATCTACCTCGGACATCGAGGAAGCGGCGGTGGTCCACTGGCAGCTCTGATTGACGCCACTGTTGATAGAGGCGTGTGCGCTCAGCAAAAAGAGGTTGGAGGATGTCTGCTGCTGCTAGGAACCAGTCAGGTTGTTGTCGAACGGGTTTGCCCAGGTGTGCCTCAGCGCTGGAGGTCAAGGCAGATTTGTATGCCGATCACTTGGCATCAACGGTATCAGCTGGCCCAGACGATTGCAGATGGTGTTGCACACCGGTGGCGAATTGGAGCCGAGTAGCCTGCACCGCATTAGATTGTTCGTCGGTCATACCAGGGCGGGTCATGAGAGCTTGGATATTAAAGCGTGAACGCCGTGCTACTCCGGTGCGAAATTTGACGGTGTACGACAGACAGAACGATAAGCATACAGGAGTGTGGTCGGTACTACACTCCGCACTACGGATAATGTGGCAGTCTGTGCAGGCTAGCAGATCTTGCCGCCTGACAATGGCATAATCGATACAGTGCCACTTCTTCGACCGTAGGTGCTGCCATGTATACTTGTGGATACGCTGCTTGGCAAACCAGGTGTTGCACACAGTGAGGCTGTTACATGTAAAGAACTGGACCAGTTCCAGTCCAGCGTCATTCGTTTCCCCTATTCCATTATCTCCGCAAGTCCCATACCATGGACCAGCACTCTGGATGAGACCAACACCTGCATTGAAGTCCCCAAGGAGAATCAAGTGTTGACTTGGTGCCACTGAGTTTATACTCGCTTGCAGGGAAGCAAAAATTCATTTTTGGACTCCCTACTTGATCTGAAAGTTGGAGCGTAGCATGCAATCACATTGATCCAGGTGTTCTTGTTTCCGTGGTGGACTAACTTCAACTTGAATTGTTCAATTCTCGACGATACCGCCGTCCATCGATTTCCTCCTGCTCAGAAAGCGCTCTGTGCACGGCCTCTCAGGACGATGCAGACTCCTTCTCCGCGTTTGAAATTTTCAACTGGGACGGGACGTCCAGACGACAACACAATCGAATCTGCGACATTGTAGATCTCAGCTCCAAACCACTTCAATTCCTGAAGTCCAGCCTCTTCGATGTCGAGTCTCTTCAGCTCATTTATGACTGTAATGATCTTCCTGTCCTCGACTACTCTATGTCCAGACGCAGCTGTTTCGATTGGGCCGTCAGCATTCACGAGTGTTCTGACATTCCAGGAAGCGAATTTCAGTAGAGAATCGCTTCTGCTGGGGGATCCTGCCTGCGACGACTTCGCCCGTTTTCTGGTTGCTGAAAAGCTGAGGATGGTAGAGGCGACATCCGAGGGGTAGGTAGCCCACTGTGGATGGAGGACGGAGAGCGGCGCGCCAGTGACAATATCAAAATTCAAATTGTCCTGGAAGACGCGCCGTGAGCCTCTCCGACCTGTATTTCTATCTGGACGCCAGGGGCTCTCCTAGCAAGGCTAGGAGAGCCCTGGGGAGCGAGAACTAACTTAAGGAGAGCTCCAAGTAAGTAGAAGACGGGAACTACACAGATCCTCAAAAGATCAAACTGACCTTCAAGAGACTCAAACTAACACACACACACACACACACACACACACACACACACACACACACACACATACAGACAGACAAACACACATAATATTATTCAAACACACGCATGCCTACTTGCATCTTTCTTGGTTGCACCCACCTTCTAACCGACTTGATTTGGGCATGCTGTGAATAGCCTGTATTCTCAACTTGATCGTGTTTGGATATGATGCTGCTGTGAGTGCTAAGAATTTGAACACGCCAACAAAATAACGTACCTTGGCAGTGCCTTCCATTACCGGTGAATCCTGGAAGACAAGTGCAAGTAAAAGTGCTGTGCGTGTTCAAGCACAGTGCATCTTCGTGACAGCCGTGAGAGGTTCCCTTGCATACATCCTGATCTGCAGCAGTGAACACAGACAGTACAAGTTGAACATACTCACGTCCTCTCGGCATGGGCAGAATCCAGGTACAGGACCAACGCGGGCACACACCATGTACGCCCGTCTCAAGATCCGCTAATTTGGAAATCTATTGGATATACACCCACACAGACCAGTGTCTGCTCTAGGATTGTAAGACAGCCGGGTACATGTGTACCTGGCGCAACCTTTTCAACCGGGTTGGAGTCGAGTACACATGTACCTGGTGCTGTCTCACCACGACGACCTGTTTTCCTAGAGTCCTGGAAGCAGGGCCTGTGTATTCGCCTCTTCGCTGGAGGCTCCATTTCCAAAAACAACACTTCAACCATCAAGCTCGAATTGAGCAAGTGCACACACCGGATAATAGAGAGGTTTCGCTTCACATTGTTCTGCTCTACACTGTGAAATTTCACGTCGGTGTGGCAAATTTTGGCGTCAAAACTCCCGTTCATGACGTGAGCTGAGGTCAACTCACGTTCGACGTGAACCCGAGTTTAACGATGTAGTGTAGAACAACGTGAAGCGAAACCTCTCTACTGACTACTTTCACTTCGACGCGCGCCTCTGCATGATCTATCACACATACCAGCCATGTAGTCAGTCCTTTCAAAGTTCGAACGTGTAAAGTACCAACCGGGTCACAGGTGACCCGGTACTATATTTTCAACCGGGTCCAAGCGCCGCCCAACCGGGTCGATTACCCGGCTCACCCGGGTCTGGAGCAGACACTGCAGACATTCTCTTATAGCAACAATGGAGGACGAAATCTGAATGAAAGCGAAAAAAAGACTTGCGCCAGATGATTACTCTATCGAAATACCATTTTTGCCACCAACGAAGCTTTTTAGAGTAATGTGCAGACAACATTAGAGATAATCTTTTACTTCTCCACATGTCTCTTTTAGACGCGAAGCAAATTGCCTCAGACAGAAAGCACTGGCTCGAAGTTGTCGCTAGGTACACCACCTTCATTTTATTTCCCATATGAGAAATATGCGTCCTATATCATTGTCCTTTAAAAAGGTTATAGGATATAAAAAGTACACATGAAAATGCAAAAAAATTAGCTTTCAGGAGGAATAATATCATTGATGTGTGCCCGCACCCCCTCTGTTGTTTGGAATTTTTGACTGTAGCAATGGCTACCGAGGGTAGCAACACGTGTCGGCTGAGAGTGCATGAAGAGGAGGGGAGATTGTTGCATGTATAAATGCTGACCGGGCAAAGCAACCGGAGGATGTCAGGGCAATGCCATGACCTAAACCATGGGTGTGCAACATTGCAGGGATGCAGAGTTGTGAACACCTGTCTTGGTGCAAATTCTGGGAAGTTTGAAAGAATTGAAAATAGGGCTGAAACGATTATACCGAATAATCGAGTACTCGTTTGATAACTCTAACGATCTAGTAATCGTTTAGATTACCGAATACGATTATTTTGCGTTTTTTAAATTTGTGTCCAGAAAGTACGGTAAATCCTCGTTTTGTGAAGTTTGAATCAGTTTCCGCTGGGAGTATGCAGTTGCCAGGGGTATTATTCATGTTCTGAGGTTAAATTGACTTCGAAACTGCCATGTTTCGGAGCTACCCTTTCACTAATGCAGATTTGTTGGTATTATGGAGGCATAGTTTGTGGAAACAGAGTAATGTTTGCACAGAATTATGACTATTTGCTAACGATTATAATCGATAACTCGATCGTTAAGCTAAAGAGTAATCGATACGTGAAAATCCACGATCGTTCCAGCCCTAATTGAAAACGTAGCACCATGATGTACTTACGGGAAGCTGGCGGATATAGATGAACTGTGAACAAAATAATACACAAATTACAAAAACGTAGTTATGAAACGAAACAGCATTAGAAACCATAGTGAAAAGTTGTGTTTCCCCTCTTGAATAGAGGTAGACCTTCAGAAACAACCTATCTTCCACAGTTAAGCAATGCACAAAATTGTGCCATCTATTTCACACGGACGCACACACGCAAACATCCCCACATTCACACAAGTGCCCACACATGCACGTACAGCCCCCCCCCCCCCCCCCACACACACACACGCTCACCCCCTCCCCCTACACACGTACACACCCGAATCCAGTGAAAGCATCAACTCCAAAACTGCCTGCGCTCCAACCTAGCAGGACAATGTCATCTCCAGGAGGCTGCGTCCCACTATTCACCGCAGTTGCATGGACCATCCAGCTGGGAAAGTGGTCCGGCCATGGCCGGACCAGCCTGACCGGTTCCGCCGGCCCTGGACCAATGCAACTACTGTCGTAAGTCTGTCGTAAGCGAATCGTTATTAAAGTCTCTCTTCAGACACACATCACCCCTGTATCTGCATGCTGAACCCTTGATAGTCCCATAGGAACTAGAATCAATTTACTCCTTACCACTATCTTCTTATCTACAACTCTACATTATGTGAAGTACATGGTCCTGGAACATTGAGCTGCGCCTAGCTAAAAGGGACTATCTTAACACAATACAATACAGTACACTGCACTGAACTAAACTGTACTACGCTACACTACACTGCACGGCACTGCACTGCACTGCACTACACTGCACTGCACTGCACTGCACTACACTGCACTGCACTGCACTACACTGCACTGCACTGCACTGCACTGCACTACACATTACAGAGTGCCAGCTGAAATTTAGTTCCAACTGGAGTTTACTTTCCAGGATCTGTGATTAGGGAAGCAGCGAAACAATGAAATTTCTAAATACAAGGAAAAGGTGATACTGATATTCTAGAACAACTTCAAGAAAAAGTCTTAGAGCGCATTACGTATCACATACCGTATATCAGCGCCTTTAAAGCCATGGTCTTATATTCAAAACACCGTTGCTTTCCGAGATGTTTTAGATGCAAAATGACTCACCCACTACGCCATGCCATAAAAAGTCAAAGTCCACCCACAAATTTCAATCTAAATCTACTTGTCCACCCTTCCTGCTGGGCTGTAAGTGTGTAAGCATAGTACTTATTCCTTCATTTTGCAAAACATGCTTCAAATTTCATTTCATTTATGAAGCCCACGGCTATATAACTGAGACTGGCTTTATAATCGAATATACCACCATGGCTTTAAAGGTGAAGACATACGGTAATTAGAAGGGAGCACAGGGAAATTTGAACTCACGGGAAATCTTGGGACCTGGCAGTTCGCCTTGTTTTAGAGCTGGACGCAAGAGAATACATAAGCAGATAAGTGCCTGCCATACCTGCCATGGGATAACACATATAGTGAATAAGACCTCACAACCCCGAGTATAGCCCCCGTATTCTGATGATTGATTTCCAGCATGAAACTCGTAAGTAGAGACTTTCAGGGGCCGTCCGTGAATATCGAAAAAATTTCACCAAGCGCATTATTTTAGTTTAGCCCCAACCCCTACCTCCCTCTCCCTCAGAACGGAAAAAAATGTTGACATCATAGATGCCAAAGTCGTATGGGTAAGTGTGTCACTGTTCCTATGGCCGTGTGCATGTATACCAATGTTTTCTGAAACGAAATTGGTCAACCCCCTCCCGCCCCATGGCCCATAACGAATTTACTTTGTTTTGTGATTTTTTTTCGATATTTGTGGATGACCCCTTTGATCATCTCTTTTTGTTCCACTGGATTTTATTTTGTAAGCAGATGCGTGCTATCCTGACTGCAAGTAAACAGAAAACCTGACTTTGCATGACTTCGGCTGTATTCGATTGTGGAAACTGGATCCCGATCCCCGCCGACCAGATCACTTCGATCAGACGGATACAAACGGATGTTCACGACCAACAGTACATGAACACTTTGTAGTAAAAAAATACTTTCAAGTAAAAGAAAAAAATGTAGAAAAGAAAAAGGACATTATGGAAACGAGTTAAAAGTAACTACTCACCACTGTAACTAGATACTATATACAGTCAGAAAGTGCAACAACTAGGCACAAAACTGACAGAGTTTTCTTTTCTACATTTATTATTGGCTCAATACCCGAGTTACAAAAACAAAAGAAAAACAAAAACAAAAACAAAAAAACACCGTTTTCATGTACTCTTGGCACACCTGATAATCCATTTCAAGACCTTAGCAACCGAGTTACTACAGCTCATCCCATACTATTCGATCTGTACGCATTACAGTGAACTCTGGACCTGGTGTACGCATATTTCGAGTTTTGAGTAGATACGATGCAAATGAATCCATCGAATCCGCCGAATCCGGCTCTGTGGGGTTGGTTGACTGGATCCGATTCCGTGGGGCCGGGATCCGGATTCGTACAATCGAACATGTACGAATTTGGTGAATCCGGGTCCGGGGCCCACGCATTCGCACAATTAAACATGCGCTTAGAATCAGTTCAATAAAACAGTTATCGCTATGGCCTTTCTTAAACTTGTTGAAGGAAATTTTGGTTCTTTTTGGCAACTGACTTGATGGTGCATAGATTCTGCAGTTGCATGTGTTTAGCTTACAGCAGGAAGTCCTAGCATAAAGGACGACAGCCACACTGGCAACTTTAAAGCCTAAGGGTCGTCGCAAAAGTTTTTGTCGTCCCTGAAACGAACATGATTCATTGGGGGGGGGGGGGGGGAGGGAGTGGGAGCCAAAATAGCAAGTCAACCAACACTGTACATATGACATGTACATGCATGCGATTTTCGTCGTTCTGCATAGCAAGCTTTGTTCGTTTCAGAGGGAGGGAGGGGTCCAAGTACGAAATGAACGATGTTCGTTTCAGGGATGACAGAAAACTTTTGCGACAACCCCTAAAATGAAGGTTTCGCTCCAGGACTGTGCGTTCAAGTCTCCCTCGGGACAGCCCTGATTTACATTGTTTGCATGCTGGCACACGGTGTAGCTAGACTGGGCCGCTCTAGAGATCAGAAGGTCATAGGCGTGACACGGCGTTTTCAAGCTGCGTAGAGCACGGATCATGTGGAACTTCTAAACCCGGGGTCGAAACACACATCATACCAAGTGCTGCAGTGTCATGCCATCTCCCTAGATGCTAGGATTCCTGCCTTGCCGCGGTGTGAATGTGGGCCATTGCATCATTATGTTTACTATCTATATTAGGCCAAAACAAAAATTAGGCTTGTTTCCGGTCGGCAACCCCTCAAAAAGGAGACTCGGTCGGCCGGAATGAAACTTTTTTTGAATACTTTTTTTGGTTCCTCAATCGTTGTGGTATTGATGGACAAGAGCACCAACATACACATGTACATTGTACATAATATCATGGCAAGGATCAATGTCAAAGTAACAGTTGACTGACTCACTGTTCTTGTACAGCATGTGGTGTATTCCTGTTTTCGTACATCCTGAGAAATCAAGCAAACAGTTCGAGTCCTTTCAGCTCCGTTATTCTAGCTCGTATCGACCCCATAGGTTTTCGAGCCGACAGCTGAAAATCTCTGCTACCTTGTAGGTGTTTCGATTGTGGAATTCGGTTGAGATTTGACTGAGTTATGACTCGTTGAGTGCACTTGCACACATGGCATTGCCACCGTTTGTATACATTTGGGACCAAAAAAAATTTCAGAATTTGGGAAAAAGTGGCTCGGTCGGGCGACCGGAAACAAGGTCATTATTTGTTTTGGCCTTAACACATTGTTATGATCAGTCTGAAGGAAATGGTTGCTGTTGGTCTAGGGACTACAACATGGCCTAGTGCTAGAGCAACACTGGTCATTAGGGTGCCTGGGTTCGAGGTCTGGTGGTCATACCCCCCCCCCCCCACACACACACAAAGTCTGCCAATGTTCGTACATATCTATTTTGATGAAATGCATCCACTACAAAATCTTTTGTTTTTCTACTCACGGATACATGCTCTCTTGAACATCCATGTCTGATTGGCACACACCGAAAATGGCAAGCCAACCAATCTAAACCCACTGCTGCACTTGAATTGTGCTATCCGAGAAGTGACTGTTGCCTGGCCATTTAAAAGTGTGGGTTGGCTACACCAAGATTCTGCAACACACCACCAAAGACAAGAGAAAACGACAAGTCGAAAAGATGATGTTACTTTAAACAATCGAGTCCAGATTTTGGCCCAGTGACAATATTCTCCACTGAGTAGAACCCGGTCGCAGAACGGAAGCATCGCTGGCATGTTGGGCGTTTTTTTTTTTTACTATGTTCACATAACCAGCTCGAAAAGAATAAGGAAAGACAATTTCACGGAGACTAGGACAAACTGACAAGTAATGAGGAGGCGCTGTGCCTAGACGCAGCAGTGACGGTGGGGCATTGATAACTCTGCCGGCCTGAGGTCTCGGCGTCACGCCCAAAAACACGCACCAAAACAAGGAAAAAAGAAGATAGAGCTGTACAGGTCAGAAAGATGCGAAAAACCCGCAAAACCCAAGGCTTAACACGAGTGAGTGTGGGGAGAAGCTATCATAGCATCATACTACAGGTAGACTCCCTTTAATTCGAACCTCAAATTGCCAGGCCCTGACTTCGAATTATCCAGAACTTCTAATTATCCAAATGCAGCCCCATGCACTGATATGTATGTCAAAATGCTTGAAATCGCTTACTGAATATTTTTTGCACATTTTTATTTGCATCAATGAAACATAGGTACGGGTCTTCTAGTGAAGAAGTTGTCAGTCACTGCAGCTTTCCTGAAACAATTTCAACGGAAAAGAACTGCGCTGCCTAATCGGCGTCATGAAAGGCCGTTGGACAGCAGCACGTCGTTCTGAAGAACGGAAGTGGAGCAAAGGCATAGACAATATTTACGACAATAGTGTTGTTGTGCGCCAACATCTCCGCGCACGAGCTGGCGCGGTAAGAAAGGCCATCGAGATCCGCGAAGAGAGTCAGCCACCAGGAAGAAGTCGTCTTCAATCAAACCTTTGCAATTTGCCTCGCACGGGCTTGAATCAAATTTCGAGAGAAGGTGGGTTTCTTGAACGCTATAGTCGATCCTGCAGCGGACCATCGATCGATTTTTGAGCTACTCTTGGCTAGAGAAGGAGAAAAGAATGAACTTCGAATTACAAGGATTGCAACTCAATCTCACTTCGAAATAAGCGTTCAAAGGACATAGCCAATGTACTGTAAACAGCTCTTCTGTACGAAGACTGGGTTCGAATTATCCAACCGGCGCACTTTTCGTACTTCGAATTATGCATTCGATTTTGACTTGAAGTGACTTGCAGAAGATCGGTACGACGAAAAAGTTCGAATTACACGGAATGTTCGAATTATACCGTATTCGAATTAGAGGGAGTCTACCTGTATTCATAGGGAATCGACTGCCCAGAGCCAGTTTGTGCTGCGAAGATGGCGATAAACGTTCGTTTTGAATGATTGCATTCTCTTGCTGTGGGGAGGCTGGGACAGGAGAGCGGCAGGGAGGGAGCTCCAATTGCTGATGCTGCAGTGTGGGAACGAGCGCTTCAGCGCAAGCGGGCAGATGCAGGCAGCTGGTGTTGGAGCTGGTGGTCATGGCCACTGACACTACCGTGCTCGCTGCGGGTTCTGGGGTTGGCAGAGGTGATATGGCGTGGTGGCAACACAGAGAGCAGCTGCGGTGGACCAGGCAAGTAGTGCAGCTTGTACAGGCAGGCAAGCGAGGCAACAGTGCGGCGGATGGCCAGGCTGGGTAGGTGTGCCCCAGGGCCAATAGCATGAAGCACGCGGCGCTGAACATTGTTCAGACGCTGGAGGTGACTCTGCGCAGCTCCCATCCATACAAGAGGCGCATACTCCATGACTGGTCGTACGAACGCCTTATACACTGTCGTCCGGCCGGCGGGGGTGAGGATGTGGGCGGCTCTGTTTAGGACCCCAAGCCGTTGGCGTGCACGGGTGGCTACGGAGCGTAGGTGATCGCCAAAGGTCAACTTGGCGTCCACCTTCACACCAAGGAGGGTGATGCTGGTTGTCTCGGGCACCAGTGTGCCACCAAACAGGTGTGGGGGGAGATCTAAGCCGGCACGTCTGAGGGTGGCTGTCATGGCCTGGGATTTAGTTGGTTCAAAAGTCACTTCCACGTACGGCCCCACTCGTGCAGTCGGTCAACGGACACCTGCAGTGACTGCGCTGCGACTTCCGGGGTCTGCTGGGAGGTGACTAAGCTGTATAAGGTTGTGTCATCAGCATAGGCCTCCAAGCTGGCGCCGTCAGCAAGAACGTCTGGCGCGTCGTTGACGTACGCCAGGAAAAGCGTTGGACCAAGAATGCTTCCCTGGGGGACTCCAGCAGAGGTCGTATACGAAGCTGAGGTACGCCCTCCAACAAGGCACTGTAAGGAACGGGTGTCCAGGTACGAGCCAAGCCTTCTCTGGAGCGGACCATCGATGCCTAGGCTGCGCACCTTGTGGAGGAGGCCGACATGTGAGACACGGTCAAACGCTCCTGCGATGTCCACAGCATGGATACGAGCCGCCCCTCCACAGCCCACAGCGCTTGCCCAGGCAGTTTGGAGAGCTTGCAAAGCGTCTGATGTGCCGAGGCCTCTGCGAAATCCAAACTGGTGCGACGTGAGCAGATGGTGGTCCTCAAAATAGTTTACGATGTGTCTGTTTACTAGAGTTTCCAAGAGTTTCGAGATTATGCACAGTAAGGATACGGGCCTATAGTTGTTGCTGCGAGCAACAAGCTCAAAGTGTCACAGACAGACTGACTGTTGGTGTAGGAGAACTCGTGACTGGCTGGCATCGATGGACAGAGCACCCACCCTTGCTACGGAACAACCTGTTGGGTTTCTTGGACTTCATTCGCTTCCTTGTCATTGGACATGTTCAGTCCGTTCGGTTTGTGAATTCAAATAGACACAACCCCAACCTCTGGCAGGCAGTCTGGCACTGCAACGCTCTGGAGCTCGGTGGGAAGCTGTCTCTGACTGGTGCATTTGTGCCGCATCCTATCGGAAACCAGTGAGACGTTCAGGTCACACACTGCGCAATGCACATACTTGGGCATGGTGGAGCTCGACTGAGGGGCAACCCGCACTTCCCTTCCCTCCTCTGCTGGCGGTCCTGAGCAAGGTTGAACCACTGAGTTGGATGCTGCAGTGCAAACTTGAGGTCGGTCGTCACCGTGTCTTTCCGCCGTCGACGGGGACCGCAAAAAGGCCGTGGTGCAGGTAGCCACCCAAAGAGGAGTTGGAGGGGGGGGGGGGTGCTAACCTCATCCATGCGGGCACCGTGGCCAGTCCATTCCAAACTCCGATTGCGGAGGAGTGTACAATATTAAAGATATCAGCACTGGGTCTCCCCAACATTTCCGCAGGTCTGTGGATAACAGCTGCGCGGACAACTGACGAGGCTTGGAGATGCGGAGGACGGTCGGGATGCATTGGTGGTAGAATTTATCCAAACTTCTGATATCCCGTTGGAGTGGGGTCCAACACTCCCCG